CGTGGAGAGGACATGGAGGAGGGTTGGTGGTTATGTCATCCTTGCTCTGTCTTTAGTCTGAAACCCCCAGTTCTTTCGCCCTCTCCTTTCTAGATTTCTGGCAGATCCTGTGAGGTTTTTTTTCAACTTTCTCTGGTCAGCTCACAGCTCTCGGGGGTGCACAGGCTTGGACACGTGCTGCACAGACTAAAGATAACCTGGTGTGTCTTCAGACTGTGCTCCTCCCTGCACGTCCTGCTGTCGTGTTTGTCCCTTTGGGGTTTTGGGGTGGGTTTTTTGGTAACATCAAGATTCCTGCTCAGTCGTGATGAGTTTTCGTCTCCTTAGTATCCTCTGGGTCCTTCTGGTGTTCCTCACCGGTACCACGGTGGTCATGTCACTAAACTTGATAAACGTGCGTGACATGAAGCAAGAACTGCTTAGAACTAAGGTCCTTTCCTTTATTTCGTTTCGGGCTGAACACCCTCTATTCTACTTACTGCACGTTTTTGTGATGCTTGAAACAAGGTCCTGAGCAGCGGTTTGCTAAATTTACTCTTTCCTAAGACTTCTTGTCCCACATTCTGCTGACTGAGGAATGTGATATCCCGAGCATCCTCATCCTACTCCAGTGTAGTAGTTATTGTTGGTGTCTCACACTCCCTCCACAATTTGAGCAGCTGTTCGTGCCCACTTTGTTGAATTGTGTTGCTAGACCCTGGTAAACAGATTTCTCTGAGAAGTGGCTGCAGTTCAATGGTGGATGAAATAATCTCTTTCTATAAATTTGTTTGTAGACCTCTGGGAAAAGCAACCTAATATAATTGTAAGAAAATATTTAATATTAAGGTTGTTGTGAATTGTCGAGGGTTTTTGTTTGTTTTGAATTTATTTTTATTCAGTTTTGGTCCTCTGTTGTGTGACAGTGATTGAGTTTGACATTTGCAAACCCCACAGATTGGAGTGGGCAGAGGGTGTTCAGAATATCAGGAACAAATTATGAGGGGTCAGTTGTACTGGTCTGTTGCTTTGACTTCTTCCAGAAGTATAACCAATTTCAATTTTGCCAGAATTTGTAAAATACATCTGAAAATCATGCTTTCATTCCAGAGGAAGAGTAAAAACCATAGTGGTGAAGACCTCATGGAAATTACGTGTCCTTTTTCCATTTATATCAGGGCAGAGACAAAGCAAGTTGGTGATTTGTCAGTAGGAAACGACATTTGTGGTTTCTGCTGTTCAGTAAAACTTAACTCTCATTTGTAGAGATTAAAAACAAGTTGTGTGTGCTTTTAAAATCCACGGTTTCCTGGATTAGGAAAATAAATGTCCTGTTGTGAAGCCTCCCGTAAAAATTTTAACTGTATGATTTGTTGGTATAGGTATTTTTCTATTAAAAAAAAAATCACTAGCTTGAAAAGCAGTATATATGTAAAGAGAAAATTTGTTAACTGATATGGGAAGATCTAACCCTGGGTCACCTGCAAATCTCTCAAACAAGAGCTCGAGGGCAAGTCCTAATTCCAGAGAGTAAAAGCGAAAATTAAAGCTACAGCTAGTGACTCCTCCAAGTTACCCAGGGTAGATTCATTTGAGTTTCACTGATTGTGCTTGTGAATATAATGTGAAAGGGACAGTAGAGGTCTTCTGAGCCACTTCCCGTCCAAAGTATCTCCATGGAGACAGAAATATAACCTGATGGTCTGTCAAAAGTTGCTTTTCATATCCAGAGGCATTCATTAAATAGTAGATGAAGCAGGAGCCAAACTTTTGCATTTTTAACCAACCTAAAAAAAAAGAAAAAAAAGCCATTTGGAGAATGTGCTTTATGGAGTGGTTTATCTAGATCCCGGTGGTATTTCATGTCCTGAGAAACAGACTGTTAATGCGATAGATTTATTTATCATTTGCACTGCTTCTTCACATTATAAACTGTGACGTGCAGTAAGTAAAACCACAGAAAATACAATACAGGTTCCGAAATAAAAACCAGCTGATCTGATTCTGCAAATTCGCACAATGATTGAGGTTGGAAGGAACCTCAGAGATCATCTAGTTCCAACCCCACGCCAACAAAAAGCTTACAAAACCTTCTTTACCAGCTGGGCCTTGCAGCGATGAGCAGCTCCGGGGCTCGCGCAGCTTCTTCTGCGTGGCCGAGGGAGCGAGCTGCTGGTGAAAGGTTCAAGTGACTTGCCCATAATGAGAATGAGGTTTTAACGGGCACGTCAATGTGTTCCGTGATGCTCTTAAAACACGTGCGGCGCCTTTTTTTGTCTTCCTCTTGAGCGAGGTTTTCGGTTGTGTCGCCGGTACCATAGAACAACTGGAAAATCTTCGCGGAAACTGTAAAACCACGACGGGGACAGTTCCTGATCCCCCAGTTTTTGAGCATCAAGCTGCAGCCATGATGCGGGGATCCCTCAAGATGAACCTGCCCTCCCCAACATCTTCTCTCCCCGTAGTGCGCAGAAACCAGACAGGCAGGGGAGAGGAAAAAAGGAGCGTGGGGAACAGCAAGATAAAACATCGTACGTTGAGTACTTTTAAAACCGTTCTTAATGCGCTATAAAACTGGCTGCTTCGCTTTCCTCATGAACTGTGGGCAGAAGAAGCACCGACTGTAAAGTTGTCCTCGGTTAGGCTTAGTTTATAGTTGCAGAGGCTGCCCAATAATGTTGTCTCGGAAAAGGTAAACAACATAGTTTTAACAGTGAAAAATATGCCTAATATAAGTACAGCTCCGTTCGCTGCCGTTCAGAACTTGAAAAATAGGACTGGAACGTTGCATTTGCCGGTGGAGTTACCAGAGGAGCCCGGTGCAGCCTTATGAGCAATATATCTGAGCCGGAGAAAATAGGTAATACATCTAACCGGGGAGTCTCTGTGGCATTCGCGTAGAGGCAAGCACAGTAGCTTTATTTAATTGAGAAAATGAATCAATTACAATGATGTTGCATCATCAAATGCAATGGAAACAGCAGATATGTCATTACGTCGGGTAACAGTGTTAAAAAGTAATTGAGTGTCTTAAGCATTTTGAATCAATTCCAGGTACTGGCACAGCTACCTTAATGCAAAATTTATGAAGATGATCTCAAAATAATATGTCGCCATCAAAATTGGGTAATAAAACCTGGTAACGATGTGTGTGTGAGCGAGCACACGTCTCTCCCTCTCACACGAGCCGGGCCTGCCGCTCCGGCGGAGAGTCACGATGTCACGGGAGGAATTCTGTAATGCTTCAATTTGCGTGGCTTTAGTTTTCATTAGAAGCACCGAGCGCTAATATTAGAAATAATATTTTAAATCTTGTTCTGAAATTGGGTGTAATCGTAGCTGTGTTGAGGCTACACTATGTGACCCCACCTCTATTCTTTTTCATGACAAGACCTATTTTCCCGGGAAGGAAATGTGACTGATGCTCTGTTTGGATGAAAAACTGAATTGCCTGTTCATGTGCACTAATCTAAAGGAGCTCGAAATCATCCCTGTTGAATCAGCTGAGTCGATTTTGTCATTTAGCATCTGGGAGCGAAGTATGAAAAAAAGACTTTTTATACCCGCAGAATATTTTGCTTGTTAGCAATAGTGCAAACCAGCACATTTATTCTGTGGAATCATAATAGATCAACATTGAGCGTTAAAAGTGTGGTGGGCTCCTTCTGTCTATTATTTTCTTGGAAAAAATAGGATTGTACACAGAAACTTTAAGCATATAGTTGTGGGTCAGTAATAGAATAGCAGAAGACTTCCCGTGCATAGTCCCAGCTCTTTATTTGGTGCTGATTTTCAGCCTCCTGTATATTGCATTTTACTACCTGTAAAGTATTACTGGAAGATCCTGCCTCTGGCTGGGTATTGGGGGTGACGCTTCCAAAGCTGATGGCAGCCCTGCAACATTCATCATCGTGGCACCATCCAGCAGAGAATATTAAATGTGAGGGGCGAGCCAAATAAACTGTGTTGGAGCAGAAGACGACGTTCTCGCCGAGGTCTGCGTTCCGTTTGCCTTGCGATTACGCTGGGTTGTGAGCAACTTCGTGCCTCGCCAAGGAAAAAGAGGTCGTTAATTATCCGCGCTCGTTAGAAATGGTGTGCATGTGCAAATTAGCAGGATACCAACCTCCCTAAATCCGGGCAGATGTTCTGCACAAAGTACCTGCCCTGCACCTTGTCTTTAGTGGTTTGTGGGGTAATTCTGCCTTTGTTTGGTTTTGTAATCGAACGGTGCGTTGCCAGTACGAGTCAGAATATTTCGTAGCTCTCCGTAGGCAATTGTATGGTCTGTTACTGCAAACTATTAATTGATTTCCCAACCAAATTGATGTTAAGAAATAAGAAGGGCTCCAAGACGAGTGATAACGAGTCTTTCATTTGCCGTTTAAAACGACACGAAGTTCATCAAACTTTGCAGCCTCACAGATGGCAATGCTCTACTTCTAGTCAAAGTGAAACTGGGTTGGAATGTGTGAGAAACTTGGGTAAAAGTGGAGTATTAAAGGCTTTCCTGAGCAGCGGTAGATACTTCAAGCACATAATTAAAGTTTTCTTCACAAAAAAGGGATTGTGAGCAGAGGCTGGCAGTAATCCAAAATTCTAATTTCTGACTATGATTTAATTTCAATTTTAAATAAATCGGTTTTTAATTTAAAAAGAGTGAGCTTCATAACATTAGCAATGATTGCAACATTAAGCCCAGTGTTCACAATCTAGCAATATAAAACATTATTTATATCTGAATCGTAAACAGCCTTTTGAAATGGATTATGGTTTTTCTTCCTATTCTAATACAACCTGGAGGGTACTAAAAAGTGTTGTGTGAAATTAACATTCTGCTGACTTTCGCCTATAAATGAGAAGCGAGCTATTAACATTTGTGTATTTTCATTATGTAAATTGTGTTAACACATGCCCACAAATTGCCACCAGCGATGCAATAATTTTCTCTCAGTGATCATAATGTGTCCAAGTGAGTCATTTTGATTATGACATGCTAATTACATATTGCCTTTTTTCAGATTCAGAAAAACCAGGGATCTTTAATGGTAAGCTTTATGAGTTCAGAAAAAAATTCACTTTTCTTTTTCCTGATGGCTGCTTCCTCTGCATGCTTGAATGCCTTGTTTTAAACTTAGCAAATTGCATTTTGAAGAAAATGCAAACCTTTAACTGCCTGTATTAGATTAGGTACCATTAGAAATAATAGAACATCCTGAGCATCAATGTTTTTATAAGAGTTTGCTGCTGTTGATTAATCTTGCTATATTTTATTGCATTAATGATTTTTTCTTTCCACTCCACTGTAAAGATATTGCATATAGGCTAATACTTTTTCCCTCTTTTCTTTCCATTGCAGCCTCTCCAGTTATTGCAGTGCATTGTTGATGAGGTGAGTCGTCGTCTTATGTGCTTTCACTCCTAAAGTCATTCCTAATGGAGTGGAAAGCTTATATTTTGTTTCCTAATGAAGCACAATGCCCGACATCCTCGGAGCACAAGTTGCCTCGTGCAGCTCGGAGCTCTCGAACTCAAGCTGGCCTTGTCCCACTTTATGCTGTTTTTCTGCTCCTGATACTGAGTCTTTGAAAGACTCGATTGTCTCCAAGGTTGGTCCTTTTAGCTGTGTGGGCCCTGAAACCTCACCGTCATCGTGTGAGTGGAACCTCTGCGTTGGCCGAATGAGTCAGAACGGAGATGTTCGGGTGGCGGCACGTGGCGTAGCGGGTGTGGTTAACGCAGTTCAGGTAGAAAAAAGGGTGTTTCCACGCAGGGAGAGAACCAAAGTGTGAGCAGGAAAGCTTCTGGATGTTGTCTGATCGTTTCTGTTCGATCAGAAGGACAAAATACAAAGCCAAGATGTGGGAGATCCACAGCAGAGAGAATTCTGGTCACACTTCTCAGCTGAGACGCTTCTTTGCAGCTTCCGTCTCCCCTCCCAAACGGAGGTGTGACCAGGGTCACAACTCCTGACGGTAAGGCGATAGCTGAGGGCTGACTGCTGGCGCTTCTGCCTTGTGTTTGAGAGACCAAAAAGCAATAACTCTTTGAAGATTTGCCTCAGCCTGTCGCAGAATGTTGGATCAGGCTCACTTGGTGTTGACTTGTCTGTTCAGACCGTTCAGCTACTTCCAGCCTGTCCCATGTAACGCGTTGCTGTAGCTGGGTGTAAGCTCAGAGCTGGTGGGATGCCCAAGCACTCTCTCTCGGTTGTATCTCCAACTGTAACTGGTATTTGTGTGAACTGCTAAACCCACTGCTCTTTTGTCTGTTTGTTAGAGAATGACTTACTGACTTAGCTGAACCCTTTCAAACTGGCATTTGGGCCTTGAGGGATGCAGTTAAATTCAAGTGAACGAGTATCCTTTGCATAAAGGAAGGTTCTCCCAGTCCTCCAGCAACGCTGACTCTTTTACCTGGCTCTTCATAGTGGTCTGGTTGTTTGAGAGGTTTTTAGGCAATTCTGCTTCTTTCATCTTTTTCATCCATTGTTGTTCCTGTTACGTACATCTTTGGTCGAGGCATGGAAATTCCAAAGCAGCGAGGCTGTACATACCAGCAGCAAAAGGCCATCTCTATCCTAAAGAAATTGAATTAAAGGTTCTCATATTTATACTTGTGTTTTGGTCTCCTTACCAAAACTTTAACCGAGGAACTTTATGCAGACTGTAAACACGTGAGCGTCAAGCTGGCTTTAACGTTAGAGTTTTGGCATTTGCTTGTTTTAATGTGTTTTCCATTCTGCGATGTGCCACGGAGCCTTCGGTTCTCCTGAGGGGGTGGTTTGGAGCACACTGGACTCGTGGCCACGTTAAGACTTCAGGTTACAGAGCAGAGCTCAGCTGAAAGTTAAGTGCAACTCGCCTTGTTTTGCAACGTTCTCAGTGTCTAAATGGAAGTTGCATCCCATAACATTCAGAGCCCGGGGGCAAGAGGAGGATGGATTGGCTCTGTCGCGTTGTTTGCTCGCTACGTGTGTGTTGTTAGGGGGTCATTTAATAAGATCTATAGCGCTGAGGTAGCGGCTGCCACACCTGGAAGTGCGAATTCTTGGTATCACGATGATGTCTTGGAGGACATTTATGTTAAGGGTTATTCTGTTCGAAGTGATGGGTGACGTTGGCTTTAACAGATCCCCCAGCCCTGTGCTGTGTACAGAGACCTCGAAGCAAAATGTGGTTAACTTGTGACTGGTGTTTTTTCCTCCTGACTTTGTCTTCTGTAAGATGTGCCTCTTGGGGAGTAACAGAGGGACCTGCTTGTTTGTCTGACACACACTCTTCTTTCTGCGCAAGGAGCTTTTGAGAGGGAAGGTCTCTGTGCTCTCTGGTACTGTACAGCTGTTGTTGCTACCAGGAGTATTAAAGATTAGAAATGTTTAGTGTTGTAAGACTGATGATTTTGCGTCAAATTTTCCCCTCGGCTGTACGGAGGTCCTAAAACTCCCAGGAGGTAGGAGCAGAGCCTCTCTCCTGCAACTGCTCTCTACAGCCTGGCCCCCAAGGAACCCCCAGATCCTGGTGCAGAATTGCCCCCCTACCCTAATGACGATCAGAACAGCAAGGAGTAACTATCTGTAGCTCGCCTCTTCCTCCAGACAGATCGGGCACAGCAGTGCTGCCGTAACGGCGTGGCTTCGCATGAGCCGTGGCCTTGTAGGGTACGGGAAGGACAGATCTGCAAGGGTGGGATTGAGCTGCCTCAAGGATCTTCGGTTCCTGTGTACCCTCGTGCCATAGTAATAATTTGCTGATGTTGTTGCAGTTGAAAACTTCAGGTCCTTTCTCCTCAAGTCCCTCAATATATTTTTTTTGTGTGACAGAGAATGGTTTGGGCTTGCGGATCCTAAAAATGCAATTGAAGAACACTCTGGAAAAGAGCATTTCTTGAAATTGGGTCTTTGCTGGTAGTGTGCTTACCCCAGTGTTTCCCCTGGAGCCAACTAAGAACTCAAGAGCCTGCTAGAGGAAGAACCTAGAAGTTTTTACAAGTGTTGAGAGGGAAGTATTGGTAGTGCTTTGATTCTTTTTAGTAGTTGCTTATTATATGGGCAGTCACTGGGTTTTTGTTAGAACTCTTCCATGTTCCACCAAA